TAGCTCACAGCAAGCTCAAACTCCTGAGCTCAAGTGATCCACCACCTTAGCCTCCCAGAGTGAGGATTACAGGCATGAGCCCCTGTGCCCAGCCCACTATTGTCCTTTCTGACACTCAAACATCCCATCTTTAACCAGACAGAGTCTATTCAGATTGGTTCCCTGGCCTTTTTGTCATGTACTAGTAAGCAAGTAGTCACTGATATTACACAATGTTCTAGGCTCATGTTATACATTCCCTGCCCAAGTCCAGGAATTCCTACTTCTCCAAGGAGTCCCAATTTGTTTCAGTGAAAAATGGTATTTAGAGATCATAACTGGGGTGCTGGAAGTGCTCATTGCTACTGGGTTAGTATTTCTAAGCCTTCTCAGCATCTAGGACTAATAAATTTCTTCTTCTTGCTCTTCTTCCTCCTTCTCTCTCCCTTTTTCCTCTTTCCTTCTCCTTCTCCCTCCTTTCTCTCTCCTGATCTCCCTCCTCCTTCTTTCTTCTTCTTCTTAAGATAAATTACATCAGGAAACTTCTAATACAAATTCAAAAAGATAGTGCTTTTTACTTACCTCATCTTTCTAAGTTCTATTTTCCTTTCTATCATGCTGAAAAAACTAATTCCCAATTATACACTTAATTTTAATTTTTTTTACCGATAATACACAAATAACTATTTCAAAGTAAAAAGATCAGCCCAATCATCAATAATATGATTACTAAAAACAGCACAAAATTGTTTTATTATTCTTTTAGAGACATGGTCTTACTCTTATCACCCAGGGTGGTATATAGTGGCCAAGTTATAGTTCACTGTAACCTGACTCTTGGTCTCAAGTGAGCCTCCTGCCTCAGCCTCCCGGTAAATGAGACCATAGACGTGTACCATCACACCCAGGTAATTTTTTTTTTAAAGATGGAGTTATCTCTGTGTTGCCCAGGCTGGTCTTGAGCACCTGGCCTTAAACAATCTTCCCACCTTCGTTTCTCAAACTTCTGATATTACATGCATGAGCCACTGCAGCCAGTCAGTATTTTTTTCATGAATTTTTTTTGTTGCTGTTGTACCTACAGTATATCCCTAGTATACATTCAAATTATTGTATTTTAGTTGCTGAGATAGTTCTCTGTGTGGTCATCCCACAAGCTCTATACATAGTTTAGATTTCTTTGATTCTACTTTTACTTTTTAGGAATTGCTTGAAAACATTTCAAGTTAAAGAAAACTTTATAGGCTCGGTGCCTGTGGCTCAAGTGGCTAAGGCACAAGCCACATACACCTAAGCTGGCAGGTTCGAATCCAGCCCAGGACCGCCAAACAATAATGATGGCTGCAACCAAAAAATAGTCAGGCATTGTGGTGGGCACCTGTAGTCCTAGCTACTTGGGAGGTAGAGACAGGAGAATCGCTTGGACCCAGGAGTTGGAGGTTGCTGTGAGCTATTATGCCACAGCACTCTACCCAGGGCAACAGCTTGAGGCTCTGTTTCAAAAAAGAAAAAAAAAGAAAAGAAAACTTTATAGTTATATTAAACATTTACAAGGTTCAAAAGTTGAGTCTACCAAAAAACTAGCTTCTACCTATATCCCCTTTATTCTGTTCCCTTCTTTCCCCATAGGTAATTTTTCTAAATGATTTATTATTTTATTTTGAAAAAAATAAGTTCACATACACACACATTCATACACTATCCTCGTCCCCAGTTCTGTACACATTTTTCTTTCTTTTCATATAACAATATGTCCCAGAAACCACTCTTTCATTATATGTTGGTAGTCTGTCTTTATTTTTACTGCTGATTGTAGCTGCTGTCATTAAAGTGTCCTTCTTTGTCTCTTATAATGCCTTCTCATTTGAATTCCAACTCTGTCAGATATCAAGACTAAGACTGCTGGTTTCTTTTCTATTTGTATTTGTCTATCTTTGTCCAACTTTATATTTTTATTTTGTCTACTATCTCTGTTTAGATATGTCTCCTGTACATGGGACAAAAGTGAACTTTGATTTATAAGTCAATCTGAATTTATTATTCTTTTACCACTAAAGGAAAAGGAAAGTAAAGCCTATTAACATTTATTGACATTATCAATATGCATAGCATCAATTCTGTCATATTATTACATGCTATATGAATTATATAAATAAAAAATAGCTGAGCATTGTGGTGGGCGCCTGTAGTCCCAGCTACTTGGGAGGCTGAGGCAGGAGTATCACTTCAGCCCAGGAATCTGAGGTTGCTATGAGCCACGATGATGCCACAGCACTCTACCCAGGGCAACAGAGTGAGACTTTGTAAAAAAAAAAAAAAAAAGAACCACTATTTGCTAACCATTGGAGTAATAATTGTTTCAAATAAAACTTATCAATGGATATTATAAATAGTGAGTAAAAGCTTAAGAAAAATAGGATATTTTCATAATCTCCAAGTATTTTCCCACAAGACTCTAATTAATTAAAAAGGGGAAAAGAATACTTTTACAATGAAAAAACCTGGCATATACCAATCTAATAAAGTGATGGAAGATCATACCACCAAGAACAGGACAAATCAACAGCATGTATATTGTATATCCTGATATAACATACTAGAAGGACACCGCTTCTGCATTTTTTCTACCAAAAGGGGACAACCTGAATCTAAGGAAACATCAGACAAACCCAAATTGTGGGAAATTCCCCAGAATAAGTAGCCTATACTCTTCAAAAATGTTGAGATCAAAAAAGACAAAGAAAGACAAAGAAAATTAAAGAGACATAACTAGTTACAATGTGATCCTAGACTGGATCCTGGACCAAGAAAAGAAATAGGGCACAATGACTATTATTGGGACAAGGACATAATGAATGCTGGAGAAACTGGCCTATATCTTTCAAAATGTCAAAATCATAAAAGAAAAAGAAAGCCTAAGGAACTGTTCCAGATTCAGATTAAAGGACACTTATAAGACATGACAACTAAATATAACACATAATCTGAGATTTTCTTCTATTAAAAAAGTTATTAAAAATTGGTGCAAACTGAATAAGATCTGTAGATTAAATAATATTATATATCAAAGATACTTTCTGGATATTGATACTCATGACTGCCTTGCTTATAGAAATACATTAAAGTATTTATGAGTAAATGGGCATCATGTCTAAAACTGCCAAGTGGTTCATTAAAAGAGCATATCTGGGGGAAGAGAAGATGATTCAAATGTAACAAAATGTCAACATTTGGGGAAACCTGGCAAAACATTTACAAGAATTTTCTATCATATTCCTGTAATTTTTCTGTACATCTGAAATTATATCAAAATAAGAAGTTAAAAGAAAAATATAAAAAGTCTAGTATTTTCTGAAATCTGTAGTCTCTCTTACCTTTCCCCATCTTTATCTCACCCTTCTCTTTCTTTTGCCTTTATTGTCTCTCCCCTGCTTAATTTGGATTCTACTCCAAGTTGGGCTCCTTCCTGGAATGGAGCTTCAGTTGGTTCATTTTAAGAGTTCATAATTCCCAGATTGCTTGGAGGTAAGAGGAGAGAGGACAATAAAAACAGAAAGAGAATCAATAGCACATCAACCTGGCCCGATATACTTAAAAATGACCAGACCTATGAGTCTCAAACTCAGAGAACCTCACAGTCTTAAAGGATAATAAGCTACTGTGTTCCATATGAGCATCATAGAAACCTGAGACTTCATGGAATACGGAAGATAATTTTAAATATAAGGGAAATGTGCATTATTCCTGATAAGTATTTTCATTCAAAATGTTAACCTAGAAAAGTCGGACAAGCCTATCTGCTTGGGAAACTGAAAACTTCAAGGATGTGGACAATCCTAATTTTCTTATCGTGTCTTGATAGGAGGTATTTAATTACCTTCTGGGGCTTCAAGGGTCTTCTTATTCTGTTCACACCACCCAATAGGGTAAAGATCAGCCTTTCTAATGTCACACCAGAAATCTGCTCTCCGGTCTTCCCCATATCCATCATAGCGAAGAAGGAGCAACTGCTCACAGGTGGTAATTATGGTGGCAACCCAGTAGGTTTCAGGATCTGTTCTCACAGCCACCTCCAGCTTCATCCCAGGAGCAAATCCATTTTGCAAACGTATGTCCACCTGAACAGGGAAATATGATTAAGCACCAGACAGGTATCTTAAATGAATTTCTCATTCTTTTTTTTGAGACAGAGTCTCACTAAGTCACCCTGGGTAGAGTGCTGTTGCGTCACAGCTCACAGCAACCTCAAACTCCTGGGCTTTAGTGATTCTCTTGCCTCAGCCTCCCAAGTAGCTGGGACAACAGGCACCAGCCACAACGCCCAGCTATTTTCTTGCTACAGTTGTCATTATTGTTTAGCTGGCCCAGTCTGGGTTTGAACCCACCAGCCTGGGTATGTGTGGCCGGCGCCTTACTCACACTGAGCATAAGTGCTGCCCTTCTCATTTTTCTTTAAGACTTAAAATTCTGAAGTACTAAATGCAATAATATCTTCCCAAGAGAAACCTGAGAAATTCCAATTCTAACTAATAATAGTGATCAAAGAAGACAAAGGAATTACAGTGTTGCTATGTCCTATCTGATAACAAAGGAACTCAATATTTTCACCAAAGCAGCCTAATTATGATTACAGAAAATATTTTCTATTTAAGTATATAAATTACTAAATAGTCACTATTTTAGCATCCTTCAGAACATCATTTTCAACAGTGTTTCTGGATCACTCAATAGAAAAGTTATGATGCTAGAAAAGGGAAAAGACAAAACTAAGCGGTCAGCATTATAAATTAGTATATCTGCTATACACTGGGGGCCAGCCTGGGCCAGCTAAACAATAATGACAACTGTAGCAAGAAAATAGCTGGGCATTGTGGCTGGTGCCTGTTGTCCCAGCTCCTTGGGAGGCTGAGGCAAGAAAACGGTCTATGTTTCATCAGTTACCCTTGAAGTATCAATAATAATTGATAGTTTCCTACTTTTCTCTCTCAACAGTGTTCTAATTTAAATAAAGAATTATATAGTCACAAAAGTACAGGTTAGCAAGTCTGGAACTACTTCATGTGTATACTAAGATTAAGTAAATAGCTATATTGTTGATAATAAGAGACAGGCTTCTCACTGTGGGAAAAAGAAGTTACAAAGACGGAAAAGGGAAGATTAGAATGAACCCGGTGGTGGTGGTTGGAATCAGAAGTTCCTAAATGAGGCAATGATGGTTGACAGACTGAATGATAGATGAATGGATGATTAAACAAATGGAAGGATAATCAGAGACAGAAAAAAGTAAAGTTGTATATGTATATGTGTATACATATGTATTCCCCACCTCTGTGAAATGACAGGGACATGAATAATGACATCCAATAGCAATAAGCATATTTAGAGTCTAAATTTTGATTTCTAAATACCATCTTCCAATAAAAAAGAACAAGGGCTTCATGTAACAATGACTTATTCCAATTCTAGAGTAGGGAAAATACAATAAGAGCCTGCAATAATCTTGTGATACCAGAAAAGTAAGGAAATAATCAAAAAATGAAGAGGCATGTTGAAAGGACGCAGAAGACAACCAGATCTCCTAATGGTCACATCAGACAGTTTCAGAGTAAGGGATTATAACCCATACATTTAAACAAATATCCACGAGTCCATATTGATATAAATAAACAGATGGATCTTCCTCACAGTAGAAAAATCAATAAATATGGAAAAGTGATAGACTTTGACAATCACCATTAGACAAACATCACTGAAATAAACATTGCAGGCAAGAATCACTGGCATATGCTAAAACACTATAATCAGGAGTGGGATCTTTGCATAACTTCAAAGGTTCTCCTGGTATGCTTCTTATTAATTGTAAAGGGGAAACAGTAATACTACAGTGAAGAAACCTGGCAGGTACCATTTTAACTAAATACTCAAAGTTAATATCACCAATCCTAAAACATTGGTATCATGTACCCTTAATATCATACAACACGTGCATAATATTATTCCTATTACACTGTTAAACTGGCATAAACTCAATCCAATCATGAGAAAAAAACAAATCCAAACTGAGGAATATTCCACAAAATAACTAACATGCAACATAGGCTCTTCAAAAGTGTCTAGTCCATGAAAGACAAAGAAAGAATGCAGAACTGTCATACACTTGAGCAAACTATGGAGCCGTGACAAATAAATGCATGTGACAATCACAACCACAAGAAAGCGAAGAGCAGAATCCTGGAAGAGAGAGAGCCAGAAAGAAAAACCCTGCATTCTGTGTAAAACTTCTTTCTCCTTTTAGTCACTATCCTCTTCTACTCCTGAAAGGTAACCAGTAGCCTGATTCAATACTGCCTATGTTTTGACACTACATTAATGAAATTATACAGCATGAATACTCTATTTAAGTGAGGGTTCTCCTGCTAAACACAGCTTATGTTTCATGTAACAGTAGTTTATGTCTTTTCACTATTGTATAGTACTTCACTATACAATTATGCCACAATTCATCTTCTTTTTTTTTTCTTTTGAGACAGAACCTCAAGCTTGTTGCCTGGGTAGAGTGCCGTGGCATCACAGCTCACAACAACCTTCAACTCCTGGGCTCAAGCAATTCTCCTGCCTCCGCCTCCCAAGTAGCTGGGACTACAGGCGCCCACCACAATGCCCAGCTATTTTTTGGTTGCAGCCATCATTGTTGTTTGGTGGACCTAGGCTGGATTCAAACCTGCCAACTCAGGTGTATGTGGCTGGCGCCTTAGCCACTTGAGCCACAGGCACCAAGCCCACAATTTATCCTTTTTACTGCTACTAATACTAGGTGTTTAGACAGTTAAGAGTTTGAGGAGGCTATGAACAATGATGCCATGAACATTTATGTATGTTCCTTGGAGCACACATAATATATAAATTTTTATAAAAGACACAACCAAATTGGTTTCCAAAGTAGTTGTAGGCTCGGCGCCTGTGGCTCAAGTGGCTAAGGCGCTGGCCACATACACCTAAGGTGGCGGGTTTGAATCCCCAGCCCGGGCCTGCCAAACAACAATGATGGCTGCAACCAAGAAGTGGCGGGGCGTTGTGGCGGGCGCCTGTGGTCCCAGCTGCTTGGGAGGCTGAGGCAGGAGACTCGCTTGAGCCCAGGAGTTGGAGGTTGCTGTGAGTTGTTATGCCATGGCACTCTACCCAGGGGGATAGCTTGAGGCTCTGTCTCCAAAAAAAAAAAAAAAAAAAAAGTAGTTGTACAAATTTATTTCCCAAATAGCGTATAAGAAATCCTTTGGCTATAACTTTTTTTTTATTTTCAGTCTTTTTCATTTACATTTTAGAATGTGTGTCATATATTTTACTGTGATTTTAATTTGTATTATTTAAGTATTATTAAAGTTGAGGACCTCCACATTTATTAGCCATTTAGATTTCTACTTTTGGGAAATGCCTAAGTTCTTTACACATTTTTAATTCTTTGACACCTATTTGTGTTGCAAAGGTCTTCTCATTTTCATGAAGGTGTTTTTTGATGAACAGAACTATAATGCAGTCTAATTTATCAAAATTTTTCCTTTAAAAAATTAGTGCTTTTTCTATATTTTTAAACAAATCTATCTCTAGTCCTAGAAATCATAAAGATGATATGCTATATTATTTTCTATAAGCTTTTCTTTTTTGTTTTTTGAGGCAGGGTCTCACTGTGTTCCCTGAGCTAGAGCGTGGTGATGTCACAAAAAAGTTCATTGTAATCTCAAACTCACCACAGCCTCCAGAGTAGCTAGAACTACAGGCATGCCTAGCCCCCTTAAAGAGGGATTAATTCCAGATGAATTCCAGATTTTACATATGAAAGACTTCTTGACCAGGCACAGTGACCTACACCTGTAATCCTAGCACTTTGGGAGGCTGACGTGGGGGGGATGGCTTAAACATAGGAGTTAGAAACCAGCTCTGGACAACATAGTATCTCATCTCTACAAAAAAATTAGCCAGTTATGGTGGCATGTGCCTATAGTCCTAGTTATTCAGAGGGTGAGTCAGGAGGAGCTCCCAAGCTCTCAAGTTTAAGGCTGTAGTGCACTATAATCATGCTACTGCACTCCAGCCTGGGTGACAAAGTGAGACCCTGCCTCAAAAACAAACAAAGAAAACACGTTTGTGTATGAAATTAAACGGGGGGGGGGGGGAGTGTGTCAAGTTTTGTTTCAATATGCATATACATGTAAACAGGCATTTTTCCTAACTACTACAAATCACCATTTTTGTCATAAATCAAGTGTCCCTTCTAGGTGAGGGCCACACTTACAACTTTGACTCAAACTACAAAAGCAGTTCATATAACCAAAACATCTGTACCCCTGTAAATTCTGAAATAAAATATTATAAAAGAATTCAATGAATGAATAAATAAATAAGGCATCCCTATGACAGTGGATATGATGCTGATATGTCTTTCCTTAGAGTAGCACTACACTGTCTTTATTAAATTTCCACAAGTTTTTTTTCTTTTTTTTACTTTTTAATTTTTATTAAGTCATATACACATAGACCATGAATACATTTATGCATTTGTACGGTACAATGTGTTTTTTATACAATTTGGAGTGCTTACATCAAACTAATCAACATAGCTGTCACCTCATTTACTTAATTATTGTGTTAAGACATTTATGTTCTATTCTTGAGTAGATTTGACTTATACCCCTGCAATATGCTCTATAGGTGTGGTCCCACTGTTCACCCTCTCTCTTGTTCTGTCTTATTCTTTAGATGTATCTGGCTATCGCTGGTCCTTTATATATTCACATAAACAGTGGAATCAGCTTGTCAATTTCTGCCTAAAATTTTTGTGTAATTTAATTTAGTTACATTAAATATACAGAATTATTTAGGAAAAGCTAACATCTTTATAATAGTGGCTCTCTCATTACATGAACAAGATAAAGTCCTTAATGTATATAGGTCTTTATGGGAGGCAGACAGGTCTTTAGCTTACACCAATAGTGATTTGGAGTTTCCTTACAAATTTTTGTCACATTTAATCCCAGAAATTTGATGTTTTTTGATGTTACTATACTTTCATTTAGTTCAAAATATTTCTAATTTTTTTCTTGAAATTTCTTCCTTGACCCGT